GGGGGCCGCCGGACACGGGAGGACAGTGGAGAAGTGAACAAGGACAGGACCCCCAGAGGGGTCTGCCAAAGAGACTGCAACTGGCCGGCCAAGCGGCGTGAGTGTGGTGCGGTCTCGAAAGAAGGAGCGAGAAGCCCCCGAGTCAAGGGTGAAGGTGTGGGAGGCCGAAGCCGACGCAGAACCTGAGAGAGCAGACTCACCAGCACCTGAGGGAGCAGACGCACCTAGAGCAGCAGCCTCGCTAGCACCTAGAGCAGCAGCCTCACCAGTACCTAGAGCAGCAGTCTCAATGCCCGGGTCGGGCAGAAAACACCGGTAACAGTCACCCTCATCACTAATAGTCACAGTATACATGGCAGCAAGAATAGCATCAAAGTCAAGGTCAAAGACAGCTACACCCGCCCTAGACAGCTCACCCCAGCGGGGGATCTCAGTGGCCTCAGGGAACTGGTGACGCCAAGCGTCCGTCAGGCGGCCAAAGCAGCGCTGGGTGGAGTGCGCACCCCCGCACTGGTCACCCGCGCGGTCGCCGGTGCGGAGGACGTAGGTGCACGGACCAGTACCCCAACCCCTCTGGCGTGCAGTGTACCACTCACGGAGCTGCTGAGGGGAGGGGATGTCACGAGTGCGCTGCTGCTGCTGCTGCTGCTGCTGCTGGCGCTGACCACCACCGGAGCCGACCCTCTGCGCAGCGCCACCCCGACCAGCTCCACCTCCTCCGTCGCCTCCTCCTCCACCGCCGCCACCTCCGCTCCCACCGCCACCGCCGCCTCCGCCTCCGCCTCCACTGCCGCCACCGACACCTCCACCCCCGCCACCACCCCCACCGCCACCCCCACCCCCTCCACCGCCTCCACCTCCGCCTCCACCGCCCCCGCTAGCTCCTCCAGTGCCCCTGCCCCCCTTGCCCTTGCCAGGGCGACATCTCCCGCTAGGGGTAGACGCCGCACCGACCGACTCAAGCCCAACGAGGTCGGCCGCAGCAGCAGAGGCAACAGAGGGCAAAAGGGGGGAGGGGGAACACCCCTCAAAGATGGGGGTGCGAGGGTCACCACGAGAGGCTCCTACAACGACTATGCTCTTCTCTGCTGCTAGGAGGGACTTCTCGAGGAGGTCAAAGGTGAGAGTGGTGGGGCAAACTGAGAGGAAGTGGTCCCTGACTACGCGAAGGGAGTCAGGGAGCCGGGTGACTATGTAGTAGAGGGTGATGTACATGGGGGGGGGGTTCTTGGCGCAGAACTCAGCAGGAAGCGCAGCGCGGTAGCGAGTGTCATTAGTGCGGAGGTGCGTAATGAGGTCAGCGACTGTGGGAAAGGCAGCAAGGTCAGGGAAGAGGTACGGTAGCATGAGGCGGCTCAGTGCAGCAGTGGCAGGGGAGGAGTAGCGCGCAACTACAGCGTCGTACAAGGTCTGAGCACTCTTGTACTGGCTAAAGTGCGCACGCTCAGAGGTAGGCAGGTGGCGACGCACAGCAAGACGTGCAGCAGCATCGCGCGTGGCCCACTGTGAGCGAACAGTGGCGTCAGCATCAGCAGCGGGGGCAGGAGAGGCACCAGAAGTGAGGTCAAAGACGGAGAGGCCGTCTGTCCTGTCGCACTGTAAGAAAAGCTGCAGGTCATCTATCCAGACATCAAAGTCAATGGCCCGACCCTCAGCGTCAAAAGCGAGGACACTAGGGGTAGCCATGACAGTAATAGACTAGCAGCGCAAACAGTAGGGTGAGGGCAGTGCTGTGAAAGGGGCGCTGCTCTTACCGGACAGGGCGGCTCGGGTGGCTCGGCTGCAGGGCGGCTCGGCGGCTCGGCTGCTGGGCGGCTCGGCGGCTCGGCGGCTCGGTTGCTGGGCGGCTCGGCGGCTCGGCGGCTCGGCTGCTGGGCGGCTCGGTGGCTCGGCTGCTGGGCGGCTCGGCTGCTGGGCGGTTCGGCGGCTGGGCGGCTCGGCTGCTGGGCGGCTCGGCGGCTCGGCGGCTCGGCCGTTCGGCTGCGACTGCTGCTGCAGAGACGGCGGCGGCTGCTGCCTCAGGGACGGCAGCGGCCGGCCGCTAGGGGCCGCGTCAGGTGCAGGAGAGGGCCGCGTCAGGGGCGGCGTAGGGGCCGCGGCAGGGGCGGCGAAGGGGCCGCGTCAGGGGCCGCGTCAAGGGCCGCGGCAGGGGCCGCGGCAGGGGCCGCGTCAGGGGCCGCGTCAGGGGCCGCGGCAGGGGCCGCGGCAGGGGCCGCGTCAGGGGCCGCGTCAGGGGCCGCGTCAGGGGCCGCGTCAGGGGCCGCGTCAGGGGCGGCGTAGGGGCCGCGTCAGGGGCCGCGTCAGGGGCCTCGTCAGGGGCCGCGGCAGGGGCCGCGTCAGGGGCCGCGTCAGGGGCCTCGTCAGGGGCCGCGGCAGGGGCCGCGTCAGGGGCGGCGTCAGGGGCGGCGTAGGGGCCGCGGTAGTGGCGGCGGAGGGGCCGCGTCAGGGGCCGCGGCAGGGGCCGCGTCAGGGGCTGCGTAGGGGCCGCGTCAGGGGCCGCGTTGGGGCCGCGTCAGGGGCCGCGTTGGGGCCGCGTCAGGGGCCGCGTAGGGGCCACGTCAGGGGCCGCGTTGGGGCCGCGTCAGAGGCCGCGTAGGGGCCGCGTCAGGGGCGACGTAGGGGCCGGGTAGGGGCCGCGTAGGGGCCGCGTAGGGGCCGCGTAGGGGTCGCGTAGGGGCCGCTAGGGGGGGGGGCCGCTAAAAAAAAATTTAGGGCAGGGGCGCAATGCGCGTCGGGCAGCTAAAAAAAAATTTCGTTATGGTGGGCCCTTAGGAAGGAACGGTTCCATGTAGGAACCCGCTCTATACCATGTGAATTAAGAAAACAGGAATGGGGATGACTAAGGGAAAGTTGGGTACAAATACAAACCCTAAAAAACTGTACCCCATATGTGCTACCCCACTATAGCCTACAGTAGCTCTGTCATATAAATCTGACAGAGGGGCTCCAAGGATTTTGTCCACGGAGCGGGTATGCATACGAGGGAGGAGGAACGGGGAGGAGCGGGAAGTTGCTCGGTGCTGCTGCCGCTGCTGCTGCTGCTGCTGCTGCCCCTGCTGTTGCTGCTGCTGCTGCTGCTGCTGCTGCTGCTGCTGCTGCTGGTGACCTGGCTGCTGCTGTTGCTGCTGCTGCCCTCGCTGCTGACCCGGCTGCTGCTGCTGCTGCTGCTGCTGCTGCTGCTGCCCCTGCTGCAAACCCGGCTGCTGCTGCTGCTGCTGGCCCGGCCGCTGCAGAGAAGGGGGAGAGTGAGAGGAGGAGGGAGAGGGGGGAGGGGGCGCAACTGAGTGGGCCGGGGAGGCGGGTGAGGCGGGGTCGTAGACGTCGGCAGAGGAGGACGGAGGGAGTGGAGCGGCAACAGGGGGGAGGAGAGGAGCGGGAGGGAGGAGAGGTGGGAGGACAGTGTCGGTCCAGGCGAGGGGGCGAGAGGGAGGAGGGAGAGGGTCAGGAGGAGGAGTGGAGTAGTAGGGAACAGACTCATCGAAGACGACGTCAATGCTGCGGATGAGGCGGTTGGTGGGAGGGTGGAGGAAGAGGTAGCCTGGTGAGTCACGATTGTGCCCGAGGTAGACGCACTCCAGGGCGCGAGGGGCTAGCTTGCCAGCGGCGCGGGAGCGATCGGCCGGTGGGATGAGGACGAAGGACTTGCAGCCCCAAACGCGAAGGCCGGCAGCGTCAGGCTTGGCCTTAGACCAGAGTTCTATGGGGGAGGAGGAGGGATGCTGAGGGTGGGAGCGGAGATTGAGGAGGAGGGCGGCATGGAGGAGGGCATAGCTCCAGAGGGAAGGAGGGGTGGAGGCGTGAGAAATGAGGCAACGGGCAATTTTGGTGATTTCACGAATGCGACTCTCAGCAATGCCATTTTGCTGAGGGGAGTGGGGTAGGGTGGAGGTTTGCTGAATGCCATGAGTTTTGCAGAAGGTGGCGAGGGTGTTGTTGATGAACTCACCCCCACCGTCAGAGTGAAGGCGGCCAATGGGGCGTTTGAAGTGAGTGCGGCACTGCTCAGCCCAGTTGATGACCACAGCCGGCACCTGGTCTTTGGTGTGAAGGAAAAAGACAGTGGAGTACCGACTGTGGTCGTCGACGAGGACGAGCATGTACCGGTGCCCCAGACGGGAGCGGATGGGATAGGGACCCCAGAGATCCATGTGGACAAGATCAATGGGAGCGGCAGCAAAGGTGGGATGGCTGTGATGGGGGGACTGTTTGAGCTTGCCATGAATGCATGATGGGCATGGGGGAGCAGGGGAGGAGGGGAGGGGAGGTAAGGTGGGAGGGAGGCTGTGAAGGAGGCGAGAGGTGACAGTGGTGCGAAGTGCGGCGAAGTTGGGATGGCCGATTCGGTGATGCAAGATGACTGCTGGGTGGGAGAGGGCAGTAGAGGAGGAGGGGGATGGGGTGGGAGAAGAGGTGGGGAGGGAGGAGGAGGGGGGTGAAGTGGGGGAGGAGGATACCGGAGGGGGAGGGAGAGGGGGAGGAGGACCGGTGGAAGTACCAGCACGAGTGGTAACATGACAGAAAGAGGGACGGGGTGTGCGGAGCGTGTAAAGGCGAGTGCGAGGACAGAGGGGGATGCGCAGAGACCAGAGGCGGTGTGATAGAGATCACAGTAAGTAGCAAAACCAGGGTAAATGGCAGTAATACCGAAACCTTGGAGCTCTCGGTGAGAGAGGAGGTTATTGCGAAGGGTAGGGATGTGGAGACCTGTGACCCTACCGGAAGGGAAAGCGGTGCAAGGGAGGGTGGAGAGGTGAGTGCATGGGATGGAGAAGCTGGAGTCAGCACCATGAACCTGAGTGGGAAGTGGAAGGGGGGTGAGGGTGCCAGCGTCTTTGAGTGCAGTTTCTGTGGCCCCACTGTCAAGGACAAAGTCCAAGGTGGGGGAGGAAAGAGGGGGAGGTGACACAGGGTACTGGAAAGACGTCTCATTGATTGCAGAGGGATACATGGAAGCGACGGATGGTGCAACAGCAACATGACCAAGGAAACTGCCCTGAGAGTCAGGGACACTGGGGGGGGCAGAGGGGATGGAACCCCAGGGGGGGGGAGCAAGGGAGGCATGGGCGGCCATGGCCGCTGTGCCGAAGGTCATCGGTTGCTGCTGCCACTGCGGCTGAAGGTACTGCGGCGGCTGCTGCTGCTGGAAGAACTGCTGCTGCGGTGGCTGCTGCGGCTGGAGAAACTGCTGCTGCTGCTGCTGTGGGAAGTACTGCTGCTGCTGCTGCTGGTGCTGCTGAAACTGCTGCAGCTGGGAAGGGGGGGAGGGGGTGAGCAGGCGGAGGTGAGCGGGGAGGAAGGAGGGGAGGGATTGAATGTCCACGAGGGAGGGGCGAGGGGTAACACTGTTCCAGCGAGGAGGGGTACCAGTGTTGCCGCGGTCAAATTAGGCGTCATCGAGCGCCTTGAAGCATGTGGCAGGCGGGTGGTTGGTCTGCCCACACGGCGTGCCGGCGTGGGGACCATGGCGGCGAACGTACGTGCAGGGGGGGAGAGTCCCAGGGCGACCTCCACGGACCACAGCTCCACCGGCACCCGAGGGACCTCCAGGAGTGGTACCACCAGGACCACCACCACCACGGCCACGGCCACCACGGCCACCACCGCCACCACCCCGACCACCACCACCACCCCCGCCCCCTCCACGACCTCCTCTGCCGCCGTTGCGACCACCCGGGTTGCGCGGCTGCGTGGCATTGAGGGAGGTGGAGGAGGAAGGAGTGGTGGTGAGGTTGACAATGGGGGTGCGGAGCTTGACTTCAGTGTCAATGATCCACTGAGTCACCTCGGTGAGGCCAGCCAAGGGGTTAGCCTCGGTGAAGGCGTGCAGGCGGGAGTCGTAGTCCGGCGTGAGGTTGAAGAGCTGACGATGAATCTGCAGGGGCTCGGAGAGGGCAGCCTGTCGAGCGGCAAGGCGATCAGCGACCTCCTGCATGCGCCCCACGTAGTCGACAGCACCGTCACAGGTGGCAAGGGTGATGGAGAAGTACTCCTGGAAGAGAACGCCGACGGAGCTGATGTCGCGGCGCTCGAACATAGACTGGAGCTCGGTCCAGATGAGGTGAGCTCGCATTTCACGAGCTTGGAAGCGGCGCATGAGGGCGTCAGGGAGGGCACCGAGGAGGATGGTGCAGGCGCGGTTGTCGGCAGCGGCCGAGGCGATGCTGTTGGGGACGTAAGTCGCCATGGAGGTGTTGTACTCTGCAATCAGCGCCAGGCGAGTGGCACGCTCCGACGTCACAAACTCGTAGTTGAGTACAGCAACCTCATGGTCGGCTTTGCAGATAAGGTACTCGCGGCGGTCGTGGAGGAAGGTGGCGTCAGCAGCGGCCTGAAGCTCGGTGGTATCGGCCACGCCCAGGTTAGGCTCAGGAGGAGGGGGGCCAGGAGCGGGAGGGAGAGGGAGAGGTTCGCCAGGGTGATTGGGTGCAGTCGGCTGGAGAGCCTGTGGACGGCGAAGGAGAACGTCGAGGACGCAGAAGGGTCCGACGAAGGCGTCCTGAAGGACGCGGCGAATGCTGCCGACAAACGAGTGCCAGTTGATGGCGGATCGATCAGCACCAAGCTGCAGCTTGTCGACCGAGGAGGCGTCAATGGGAGGGGGGAGAGGGGCAGGAGAGGTGGTAGCCATGAGGGGCGGCGGCGGGTGGACCCGCGGCGGCCAAGGAGGAGACGACGGCGGGTGGACCCGCGGCGGTCAAGGGGGAGGCGATGGCGGGTGAACCCGCGGCGGCCAGGAGTGGGGGGGGCGGGGGGGGGGGAGAGTGCTGCTGCTGGGGCTGCTGCACTCCTCCGGCTGCTGCTGCTGCTGGACCCCTCCGGCTGCGGCTGCTGATGCTGCTGCTGCTGCTGCTGATGCCGCTGCTGCCGCTGCTGCCGCTGACACCGCTGCTGCTGCTGCTGATGCCGCTGCTGCCGCTGCTGCCGCTGTTGCCGCTGTTTCGGCTGCGCACCTCACGCTGCTGCCGCTGCTGCTGAGGAGGAGGGGGGGAGAGGGAGAGGAGGAGGGAGAGGGGGAAGGGAGGGTGCAGCTGCTGCTGCCGCTGCTGCTGCTGCTGCTGCTGCTGGGGGGAGGGGGGGAGAGGGAGAGGAGGAGCGGGAGGGGGAAGGGAGGGTGCAGCTGCTGCTGCCGGGGGGGTGGGGGAGAGGGAGAGGAGGAGGGAGAGGGGGAAGGGAGGATGCAGCTGCTGCTGCTGCGGCTGGTGCTGCCGCTGCTGCCGCTGCTGCTGCTGGTTCGGCTGCTGCTGCTGCTGAGGGGGGGAGAGGGAGAGGAGGAGGGAGAGGGGGAAGGGAGGATGCAGCTGCTGCTGCTGCTGCTGCTGCTGCGGCTGGTGCTGCCGCTGCTGCCGCTGCTGCTGCTGGTTCGGCTGCTGCTGCTGCTGAGGGGGGGAGAGGGAGAGGAGGGAGAGGGGGAAGGGGGGATGCAGCTGCTGCTGCTGCTGCTGCGGCTGGTGCTGCCGCTGCTGCTGCTGGTTCGGCTGCTGCTGCTGCTGAGGGGGGGGAGAGGGAGAGGAGGAGGGAGAGGGGGAAGGGGGGGGGAGGGCTGGATGGCCCGTAGGAGGAGGAAGCGAGGGGGGGCGGCAGAAGCGTGGGGGAGATGCGAAACGCCCGTGGGAGCGGATCGGATGGGCGAAATGCCCGTGGGAGCAGAACGGACGGGCGAATTTCCCGCGGGAGCAGAACGGACAGGCGAAATGCCCGCGGGAGCAGAACTGACGGGCGAAATGCCCGCGGGAGCAGAACTGACGGGCGAAATGCCCGCGGGAGCAGAAGTGACGAGCGAAATGCCCGCGGGAGCAGATCTGACGGGCGAAATGCCCGCGGGAGCAGAACTGACGGGCGAAATGCCCGCGGGAGCAGAAGTGACGGGCGAAATGCCCGCGGGAGCAGAACTGACGGGCGAAATGCCCGTGGGAGCAGAACGGACGGGCGAACGCAGGAGCAGATCTGACGGGCAAAATGCCCGCGGGAGCAGAACTGACGGGCGAAATGCCCGCGGGAGCAGAACTGACGGGCGAAATGCCCGCTGGAGCAGAACTGACGGGCGAAATGCCCGCGGGAGCAGAAGTGACGGGCGAAATGCCCGCGGGAGCAGAAGTGACAGGCGAAATGCCCGCGGGAGCAGAAGTGACGGGCGAAATGCCCGCGGGAGCAGAACTGACGGGCGAAATGCCCGTGGGAGCAGAACGGACAAGCGAAATGCCCGCGGGAGCAGATCTGACGGGCGAAATGCCCGCGGGAGCAGAACTGACGGGCGAAATGCCCGCGGGAGCAGAACTGACGGGCGAAATGCCCGCTGGAGCACAACTGACGGGCGAAATGCCCGCGGGAGCAGAAGTGACGGGCGAAATGCCATAGCATGGCATGGCATGGCAATGCACATTTCTAACAATTGCATCACATAGCATGGCATGTGCACCATACTGCTGTGTCGTTGCATCACATAGCATGGCATGTGCACCATACTGCTGCGTCATTGCATCACATAGCATGGCATGTGCACCATACTGCTGCGTCATTGCATCACATAGCATGGCATGTGCACCATACTGCTGCGTCATTGCATCACATAGCATGGCATGTGCACCATACTGCTGTGTCATTGCATCACATAGCATGGCATGTGCACCATACTGCTGCGTCATTGCATCACATAGCATGGCATGTGCACCATACTGCTGCGTCATTGCATCACATAGCATGGTATGTGCACCATACTGCTGCGTCATTGCACCACATGCCATGGCCATCAACGCACTTTCTCCCATGGTTCCATGCCTGCCCGTCATGCCTTGCCACTGCCCGTCATGCCTTGCCACTGCTCGTCACGCCTTGCCACTGCTCGTCACGCCTTGCCACTGCTCGTCACGCCTTGCCACTGCTCGTCACGCCTTGCCACTGCTCGTCACGCCTTGCCACTGCTCGTCACGCCTTGCCACTGCTCGTCACGCCTTGCCACTGCTCGTCATGCCTTGCCACTGCTCGTCACCTTGTCATGTGGACCTCATTGTGAAGCATGGGAAATACCAGCTACTGCTCTCTTTGGAATCCCAATCTATCATTTCCGTGTGAATCATTTCCCCCTTCAATCCCATCTTTCCTTTCACTCTTGTGTTACCCACATCATGCATTCCTTCTCAACGTCCCCACCCCTCTCCACTTCACCGCCCCCCCTCCCCACACTGCAATGCACTGCACAGAAGTGAGGCCAGTGGGGACCCCACGGCCCATGCGGAGATGCTGTGCATCCGAGCCGCATGCTCTCACCTCGCCCACTGGCGCCAACTGCAGGCAAGTCCCACTGGCGCCAACTGCAGGCAAGTCCCACTGGCGCCAACTGCAGGCAAGTCCCACTGGCGCCAACAGCAGGCAAGTCCCACTGGCGCCAACTGCAGGCATGTCCCACTGGCGCCAACTGCAGGCAAGTCCCACTGGCGCCAACTGCAGGCAAGTCCCACTGGCGCCAACTGCAGGCAAGTCCCACTGCCGCCAACTGCAGGCAAGTCCCACTGCCGCCAACTGCAGGCAAGTCCCACTGCCGCCAACTGCAGGCAAGTCCCACTGCCACCAACTGCAGGCAAGTCCCACTGCCGCCAACTGCAGGCAAGTCCCACTGGCGCCAACTGCAGGCAAGTCCCACTGGCGCCAACTGCAGGCAAGTCCTGTTAAAATATATATTGTGTAGCATGCCAACACATGTGACTGTACACCAATTGTGGTGTACAGTTGGGTTGGGACTACACCCAACTTTGGGTGTAGTCTTGCACTTTGGGGTGCCAATCCACCCAATTGTGGTGGAGCCCCCAAATGCAACCCTCTTGACTTGTGGGTACCTCACTTCCCACAATTGAGGTTACCCCAAGCCAAGTGGGCCTAGGGTTGCCTCACTTCTACAAAGTGTGGGCAACCCAACCCACTTGACCTATGGTTCCCTCACTTCCCCAAGTGAGGTCAACCCAACCTATGGTCACTTTCATCCTTCCCTTCCAACCTTCCCTTCCAACTATGTATGCTAGGTTGTTCCTCTAATCTAATTACTTGTTCAATTCACAATCTTCACATGGTATAGAGCTAATTGTTCCTAAGCCTTTTCTCTCCCTCCCTCAAAGTTTTTTCTTCCCCATGGGCCCACCCCACAGCCACAAACCCCCTACGTGTGGCTCAACCTAGCATCTCCTTGGCACGACCTACGTCGTCGCCGCCCTCCCCTCCCTCCGCCGTGATTGCGCCCTCCTCGCCTGCGGATCCCACCGCCGCGAGTGCATCACCGCCCCCCGTCGCCGCGACACACCGTCGCTGCCCCCCCCCCCCCCCCCCCCTCCCCCTTTTTTCCGCCGCCGCGCCTTCTCTGGCGCCGCCTGCACATCCCGCCGCGACGCCTCGTCGCCGCCTCCTCCTCCCCCTGCCGCGACCCCCCGTCGCCGTCTCCCTCCCGCCGCCGCGCCTACTTCGGCGTCGCCCGCGCATCCCTCCGCCGCGACGCCCCGTCGTCGCCTGCCCCTCCCGCTGCCGCGACGTCGCGTCGCCGCCTCCCCCCACTGCCGCCGCGCCTTCCTCGGCGCCGCCTGCGCATCCCGCCGCCGCGACGCCCCGTCGTCGCCTCCTGTCCCGCCGCTGCGACTTCGCGTCGCCGCCTGCACTCCCCATCGACGCGACCCCCCGTCGCCGCCTACGCATCCCGCCGCCGCGACCCGCTCGTCGCCGCCTGCACGATCCGCCGCCGCGACTTCGCGTCGCCGCCTGCATGACCCGCCGCCGCGACTTCGCGTCGCCGCCTGCACGACCCGCCGCCGCGACTTCGCGTCGCCGCCTGCGCATCCCGCCGCCGCGACCTTCTCGTCGCCGCCTGCACCCCTTGCCGCCGCGACCTTCTCGTCGCCGCCTGCACCCCTTGCCGCCGCGACCTAAAGTCGCCGCCCGCGCGACCTCCTGCCGCGACCTGCTCGTCGCCGCCCGCGCATCCCGCCGCCGCGCCTTCCTCGTCGCCGCCCGCGCATCCCACCGCCGCGCCTTCCCCGTCGCCGCCCGCGCATCCCTCCGCCGCGCCCTCCTCGTCGCCGCTCGCTCATTCCGCCGCCACGATTCCCTCGTCGCCACCCGCGCATCCCGCCGCCGCACGTTCCTCGTAGCAGCCGCCTCATCCCGCAGCAGCAGCGTCATTGGCAGCAACAGCTTCGCCCACAGCTACACCTGCGTTCTCCCTCCCCCTCCCCCTTTCCTCCTCCTCTCCTCCCACGCAGCAGCAGCCGGGACAGCTCAGCAGCCACAGCAGCAACAGCGGCAGCAGCGGCAGCATCAGGAGCAGCGACAGCAGCGGCAGCAGCTGCATCCACCATCTTCCTCCCCCTCCTCCCCTCCCCCCCCCCCCCTCCTCCCTCAGCAGCAGCAGCGGCAGCAGCGGCAGCAGCGGTAGCAGCGGCAGCAGCGGCAGCAGCGGCAGCAGCGGCAGCAGCGGCAGCAGCGGCAGCAGCGGCAGCAGCGGCAGCAGCGGCAGCAGCAGCAGCAGCAGCCGGAGAAGAACTCCACTCCCCGCAGCAGCACCCCCCCCCCCCCCCTCCCCCCCCTCCTCCCTCTCGGCTGCCGCGGGTCCACCCGCCGTCGCCCTCTCACTTGACCGCCGCGGGTCCACCCGCCGCCGTCCACCTCGAGGCCGCCGCGGGTCCACCCGCCGTCGCCCCTCATGGCTACCACTCCTCCCCCTCTCCCCCCTCCCATTGACGCCTCCTCCGTCGACAAGCTTCAGCTTGCCGCGGACCGCTCGGCGATCAACTGGCATTCCTTCGTCGGGAGCATCCGCCGTGTTCTCCAAGATGCATTCATCGGACCCTACTGCGTCCTTGACGTCCTCCTCCGCCGCCCGCAAGCCCTCCAGCCCACGGCACCCAATCACCCCGGCGAACCCCCTCCACCCCCCATTCCTCCTGGTCCTCCTCCTCCTGAACCCACCTTGGAGATCGCCACTACCCCAGCGCTCCAAGATGCCGCCGATGCCGCATTTCTCCACGATCGCCGCGAATACCTCATCCGCAAGGCGGAGCATGAGGTTGCGGTACATAACCACGACTTCGCGGTAGCGGAACGCGCCAATCGCCTGGCGCTCCTTGATGAGTACAATACGGCCATGGCGGACTACCTCCCTCGGAGCATCGCATGGGCCACTGCTGACAACCGCGCCTGCACCATCCTCCTCGGCGCACTCCCTGATACCCTCATGCGCCGTTTCCAAGCTCGCGAGATGCGCGCCTCCCTCATCTGGGCCGAGCTCCAGACCATGTTCGAGCGTCGCGACATCAGCTCTGTCGGCGCCCTGTTCCAGGAGTACTTCTCCATCACCCTCGCCACTTGTGATGGCGCAGTTGACTACGTGGGGCGCATGCAGGAGGTCGCTGATCGCCTTGCGGCACGCCAAGCTGCCCTCCCCGAGCCCCTGCAAATCCACCGCCTCCTCTACAACCTCACCCCGGACTACGAGTCCCGCCTCCATGCCTTCACTGAGGCCAACCCCATGGCCGGCCTCGACGACGTGGTCCAGTGGATCATTGACACGGAGGTCAAGCTCCGCACCCCCGTTGTCAACCTTACCACCCCTCAGTCCTCCTCCTCCACCTCCCTCACCGCTACGCAGCCGCGCAACCAGGGTGGTCGCAGCGGCGGCGGCGGAGGCCGTGGAGCGGGTGGCGGTGGTGGTGGTGGAGGCCGTGGTGGTGGCGGTGGTGGTAGTGGTGGCCGTGGTGGCCGTGGTGGCGGTGGTGGTGGTGCTGGCAGCGCCCCTGCTGGAGGTGCTGTGACTCGAGGCGGACGCCCTGGCACTCTCCCCCCATGCACATATGTGCGTCGCCATGGTCCCCATGCAGGTACCCCTTGCGGCCAGACCAACCATTCCCCCACCACGTGCTTTAAGGCACTCGACGACGCCTGGTTTGATCGCGGCAACACTGGCACCCCTCCTCGCTGGAACTCGGTCACACCTCGCCCCTCCTTAGTGGATATTCAAACCCTCCCCTCTTTCCTTCCTGCTCACCTCCGCATGGTTACCCCCTCCCCACCCTCACAGCTGCAGCAGTTTCAGCAGCACCAGCAGCAGCAGCACCTGTACTTCCACCAGCAGCAGCAGCAGCCGCAGTTTCTCCAGCCCCAGCAGCCGCCGCCGCCGCAGTTCTTCCAGCCACCGCCGCAGCAGCAGCAGCAGTTCCTTCCCCCACCCTGGCAGCAGCAGCCACTCACCTTCGGCACAGCGGCCATGGCCGCTCATACCTCCCTTCCTCCTCCTCCCCCCTGGGGTTCCCTCCCCTCTGCCCCCCCCAGTGTTCCCGACACTTCTGGTAGTTTCCTTGGTAATATCAGTGTTGCACCGTCCGTCGCTGCCATGTATCCCTCTGCTATCAATGAGACTTCGTTTCAGTACCCCGTCCCACCCCCTCCTCCCTCTTCTCCCACCCTGGACTTTGTCCTTGACAGTGGAGCCACTGAAACCGCACTGAAAGACGCTGGCACTCTCACCCCACTACCACTTCCCACTCAGGTTCATGGGGCTGATTCCAGCTTTTCCATTCCATGCACTCACCTCTCCACCCTCCCTTGCACTGCCTTCCCCTCCGATAAGGTCACAGGTCTCCACATCCCCACTCTCCGCAACAACCTCCTCTCCCACCGTGAGCTCCAAGGTGTTGGTATCACTGCCATTTACCCCGGTTATGCCAATTACTGTGATCTCTACCAAACCTCCTCCGGTCGCTTCCTTCTCCGCATTCCGCTTTGCCCCCGCACTCGCCTCTACACACTCCGCACGCCTCGCCCATCCTTCTGCCACGTCACCACTCGTTCCGGTGCTTCCACCGGTCCACCTCCTCCTCCTTTACTTCCCCCTTCCCCTCCCCCTCAAGTATCCTCTTCTCCCTCCCCACCATCCTCCTCCTCCCCTCCCGTTCCTTCCATCACCCCATCTCCCTCCTCCTCCACTACCCTCTCCCACCCTGCTGTCCTCTTACACCACAGACTCGGCCATCCCAACTTCACCGCCCTTCGCACCACAGTCACCTCTCGCCTCCTCCGCAGCCTTCCTCCTGTTTTACCTCCCCTCCCCTCCTCCCCCTCTCCCCCATGCCCTTCATGCATTCACGGCAAGCTCAAACAGTCCCCCCACCATAGTCATCCCACCTTCGCCGCCGCCCCCATTGACCTTGTGCACATGGACCTCTGGGGCCCCTATCCCATCCGCTCCCGCCAGGGGCATCGGTACATGCTCGTCCTCGTTGACGACCACAGCCGGTACTCCACCACCTTCTTCCTTCACACGAAAGACCAGGTGCCGGCAGTGGTCATCAACTGGGCCGAACAGTGCCGCAATCACTTCAAACGCCCCATCGGCCGCCTTCACTCTGACGGTGGGGGTGAGTTCATCAATAACACCCTTGCCACATACTGCAACACCTACGGCATCCAACAGACCTCCACCCTTCCCCACTCCCCTCAGCAGAACGGCATTGCTGAGAGCCGCATTCGTGAGATCACCAAGATAGCTCGCTGTCTCATTGCTCATGCCTCCACCCCTCCTTCCCTCTGGAGCTATGCCCTCCTCCACGCCGCTCTTCTCCTTAATCTCCGCTCCCACCCTCAGCATCCTTCCTCCTCCCCTACAGAGCTTTGGTCCAACGCCAAACCCGACGCTGCCGGCCTTCGCGTTTGGGGCTGCAAGGCCTTCGTTCTCATCCCACCCGCCGACCGCTCCCGCGCCGCTGGCAAGCTTGCTCCTCGCGCCCTGGAATGCGTTTACCTTGGGCACAATCGCGACTCCCCAGGCTACCTCTTCCTCCACCCTCCCACCAATCGCCTCATCCGCAGCGGCGACGTCGTCTTCGACGAATCCGTCCCCTATTACTCCACTCCTCCCCCTGATCCTCTCCCTCCTCCCACTCGTCCCCTTGCTTGGACCGACACCGTCCTCCCGCCCCTTCTCCCTCCAGCCCCTCTCCTCCCACCCGTCGCAGCTCCGCTCCCGCCCTCCTCCTTCGCCGATGTCTACGACCCTGCCGCACCCGCTTCCCCCGCTCACTCGGCCGCACCCCCTCCCCCCCCCTCCCTCCTCCTCTCCCTCTCCCTCCTTCCAGCAGCCGGATCAGCAGCAGCAGCAGCAGCAGCAGCAGCCGCAGCAGCAACAGCAGCAGCAGCAGCAGCCGGGACAGCAGCCGGGGCAGCAGCAGCAGCAGCAGCCAGGCCAGCAGCAGCAGCAGCAGCCGGGCCAGCAGCAGCAGCAGCAGCGGCAGCCGGGACAGCAGCAGCAGCAGCAGCAGCAGCAGCAGCAGCAGCAGCGGCAGCAGCAGCAGCCTCAGCAGCCTCAGCAGCCGCAGCACCAGCACGGTCAGCCGCAGCCGCAGCAACAAGGGCAGCAGCTTCCGCAGCACCAGCAGCAGCAGCGGCGTCGTGCCACTTCCCGTTCCTCCCCCTTCCTCCTCCCTTACATCCATACCCGCTCTGTGGACAAAATCCTTGGGGCTCCTCCTCCTGCCTCCATTCAGCTCCTTGAGGACTCCCATGAGGAGTTTCTTAACATTCGGGAGCACACTCCATTCCTTGCCGCCCTCTACCTTGACTTCCTGGGCTTTCCTGTCCTTGGCGCCACTACTACCCCCACCATCTTCACTCCCTCCACCTTCCAGGAAGCCATCACCTGCCCTGATGCGGATAAATGGATAGCAGCGATCTTCCTGGAGTGTGAGGCTTTCATTCGCAACGACTCCTTTGTCGATGTCCCCCTCCCTGCTGGCGCTAATCTCGTTGACGGCAAATGGGTCTTTCGGGTGAAGCAGCTGCCGGGCGAGGAACCAGTGTACAAGGCCCGCTACTGCGCCAAGGGGTTCACGCAGACTTGGGCTGAGGACTACTGGTTCACCTACGCCCCCACCGCCAAACCACCCACCCTTCGCGCCGCCATGGACATTGGTGCACGTGACGACATGGAAATCGACTCCATGGACGTCTCCAATGCGTTCCTGCAGGGCGACCTGCATGAGCGCATTTTCCTCCGGCGACCCCCCGGGTTCCACGCAGCCTTTCCTGACAACACTGTCTGGCAGCTGCGTCGCCCCGTCTACGGCTTGAAGCAGGCACCGCGTGAGTGGCATGCGAAGCTGGCTGCCACCTTGGGGTCCCTCGGCTTCTCTGCTTCCCACTCCGACGCCAGCCTCTTCATCCGCTCCTCCCCCCACCGCTTCTTCATTCTGGTATATGTCGACGACATGATCCTGCTCTCTGACACCAAGGCCGACATGGAGCAGGTGAAGCTGTCCCTGAAGCAGCGGCTCAAGTGCAAGGACCTTGGCGCCCTCACTCACTACCTCGGCATGACCATCACGCGCAACCGCCCTGCTCGCACAATCACCCTCTCCCAGTCCCATTACATCGGCCAGGTCTTGGAGAAGTTCGACATGGCGCAAGCCAAGTCTGTTTCCACCCCGCTCCCCTTCGGTCACCAACTCGCTCCACCCACCTCCCCCACCTCCTCCCCCCACCCCTATGCCGAGCTCGTTGGGTCCTTGATGTACGCAATGATGTGCACCCGCCCCGACCTCGCCTACCCCATCAGCGTGCTCGCTCGCTTTGTCGGCACCGGTCGTCACTCCGAGGAGCACTGGAAAGCTGCCAAGCGGGTCCTCCGCTACCTTCGCGGGACCAGGGACCTTGCCCTCACCCTCGGCGGCCCTTCCCGTCCCCTTCTCTCGGGCTTCAGTGACTCCTCATGGGCTGACACGCAGCCGGACCGCCGCTCCTCCCAGGGCTACGGCTTCACCCTTGGCAGCGGCCTCATCAGCTGGCGCTCCACCCGCTCCTCCGCCATCTCTCTCTCCACCTGCGAAGCCGAGCTCTACGCTGGCACCATGGCCGCCCAGGAGTCGCGCTGGCTCTGCTTCCTTCTTGCGGAGCTTGGCGCCCCCCAGACGTGCCCCACTCTCTGGTGCGACAACGCCAGCACCATCCATCTCACTCAGGACCCCGTCTATCACGCCCGCTCCAAGCACATCGAACTCCGCTACTTCTTCGTTCGCGAGCTCGTCCAGAAGGGCCTCATTGCCGTTCGCAAGATTGCAACCGAGGCCAACTTGGCCGACATCTTCACTAAGGCCCTCCTTCGCCCCGCGCACTCTGCCTTCCTCCGCCTCATTGGCCTTGCTCGCCCGGGCGCCCCTTGATTCAGGGGTTGTTCTCTTCTTGTGTTAGCATGCTAAGGGGTTGTGTTAAAATATATATTGTGTAGCATGCCAACACATGTGACTGTACACCAATTGTGGTGTACAGTTGGGTTGGGACTACACCCAACTTTGGGTGTAGTCTTGCACTTTGGGGTGCCAATCCACCCAATTGTGGTGGAGCCCCCAAATGCAACCCTCTTGACTTGTGGGTACCTCACTTCCCACAATTGAGGTTACCCCAAGCCAAGTGGGCCTAGGGTTGCCTCACTTCTACAAAGTGTGGGCAACCCAACCCACTTGACCTATGGTTCCCTCACTTCCCCAAGTGAGGTCAACCCAACCTATGGTCACTTTCATCCTTCCCTTCCAACCTTCCCTTCCAACTATGTATGCTAGGTTGTTCCTCTAATCTAATTACTTGTTCAATTCAGAATCTTCACAAGTCCCACTGGCGCCAACTGCAGGCAAGTCCCACTGGCGCCAACTGCAGGCAAGTCCCACTGGCGCCAACTGCAGGCAAGTCCCACTGCCGCTTAGAAGCAAGCTGACTTTCTCATTCGCGGCTTCAGGCTCACTCACCTATCCCTAATCCCACCCTTAGAGCCGTGCCCCATGTGTGCGGGGAGGCATCCTTCCCCACACTCTCCTTTCGACGCCTCCTCCTCTCCGACACCACCCGTGCACCACCACCCCCGCTCCCTCCCAGCACTGCACGCTGTACGTGATGTAAGAGCCGTGCCCCATGTGTGCGGTGGGGCATGTGTCCCGTTCACATCACAATCACACACCCCGTTCCCCCCTATCCCCCTACCATTCTATTCCATCTCAGCACTGCACGCAGTACGTGACCCTAGAGCCCCCAGGGCCAGCCTGCCCTACATTTGCATGCTCGTTTCCCCCCATCCCCCTCCCCGCCACCACCCGCCTTTCATGCCCTCCCCCACCCCACCCCCCCAGCACTGCACGCTGTACGTGAGCCTAGAGCCGTGCCCCATGTGTGCGGGGCTCATCCCTTCCACCCTTCCTCGTTCACACCTTCCGTTCCCCTCTATCCCCCTATCTCCCCTTCCCCCAGCACTGCACACTATACGTGACGCTAGAGCCGTGCCCCATGTGCGCGGGGGCCATCCTGCAGGCGAGGGTGGGCCGCCTCGTGTGGGGCGCTCCCAACCCCCTGCTGGGGGCCGATGGCAGCTGGGTCAGGTGAGGGGTGCAGTGCGGTGAGACGCAGTGCAATGTGGTGAGACGCGGTGCTGCTCTGCCGAGTGGGAGAGGTAAGGGGTAGGGGGGGCGAGGTAGGCTGTATCGATTGAGGGGAGTGAGAAGAGAGCTAGAGGGCAGGCACGCTGGAGTGGAGCGGTTGCTGTGGTGTGCCACGGATGCATTACCTGGGGCGAGGTTGATGGCAGCCTAAGTTAGGAGCCTGCAATCAACCTCGCCCTCCTCTCAACCCTCTCGTTGCCCTGCTCTCAACCCTCCCTTTGCCCTCCTGAACCCTCTCGTCCCTCTCGTCACCCTCCTCTCGACCTGCCTCGACTCTCATTACCACCTCATGGGCTGCGCCCCTCGCACCTTTCACACCCCGCTCATCCTTCCAACTCTTCACCACCTCTCTGCTCTAACCTCCCCTCCCCACCTCCACTGCTGCCCCGACCTGCTGCCTGTGCTGTCCCCTCACAGCCTGTTCCCGCCACAGTCTTCAGCACGTGGCTCTCCCTCTCACCGCCTGCAACCCGCATCTGCTCCCGCACAGGGCACACCCGGTCGGCGCAGGCGCAGAAGGGGGAGGAGGAGGACAGACGGCGAAGCGGAGGGGGGCGAGGAGGAGAGTGGAGTGCGTGGAGAGGTGGGGAGTGAGGAGGGGTCAGGGGAAGGGGCTGTGAAGGAAGGGGGCGTGGAAGCTGGTGGGGATAGAAGCCAAGGGGTGGTGAGGAATGTGAGGAATGAGGTGGTGTGGAATGAGGTGGTGAGGAATGAGGTGGTGGGAATTAATGATGAGAAGGGAAGAGGAGGTGATACGGCACAAGGCGGGGAGTGTGTGAGAAGCAACGGTGCCGTCAGGGGCGATGACAGTCAGGCCGATGGAAGTGGAGATGAAAAGAGCTTGGGCTCTGCGCGTGTGGGGGTAGACGGGCTGGACAAGGCAAGGGGGGGTGCGGCATTGATGGGAGAGGGGCAGAGGGGGTTGGATCACCCGGGTGTGGGCAAGGGAGGGCCGGTGCACCCCTTCCATCCGCACGTGCGCGTGACAGGGGGCGTGCTGGGGGAGGAGTGTGCGGAGGTGATGAGGGAGTACTTCAGAGCCAGGCGGAGGCAGCAGGCCGAGGAGAGGAGGGAGCGCAAGGCCAGGGAAGGGCTTGGGGGAAGGTGACGGCCTTTCATCGGATGTACTCCTGTCTGTCTGTTCTGTTTCACCACGGTGGTCTCAAGAAGTGCATTGTGGTGTTGCAGCCAAGAGATCTTGTTTCCCTGTATATGCGAACCAAGACCGTCAAAAGCGTATGGATTAGTGAAGTTCTTGTACTAAACGTTAGAATGTTTTAAGGTCCGATGACCTCGCCTCCCGAAGCTGACCCGCGTTGCCTTCGGAGTTGGCAACCCCAGACCAGCACCCAACCTCGTCTTCCAAGGTCCCTGCCTAGCTAGTTCCCTGTTATATCTTTGCTAGGTCTTGTGTCACTGTCATGTCAGTAGTCGTAATCACAATTTAGATATTGGCTTCCATGCACTCTTTCTGTTACAACTCATAACAGGAAGAGAGCAATGTAGGACACACAGGCCCCAACACAGATTCTACGGAAACCGCCTGAACCACTTTCGCTCAGATAGCTTGGTTGGGGATCCGGCGAATGTCAGGTTACCACGTTTGTCAACCCTACAACTCCGTCGCTAGGATTTGTAGTCGTTGTTTTGGCGAAACTGAAATCCCCGAGCAGTTTCGTCTGGCTCAATATTGTGGTAACCAGTCACCCTGCGATGGCTTCAGTTTCACGCATGCAGTGTTCTTTGCGCAAAACCCGAAACCCGCCACGATGTCTACCCAACCAGAAGCCGAATCTTCCGCACGCACTGGCTTTTCGCAGAAGTCGCTCGTGAAGCCGCAATCCTCCCCAATTGATTCCTGGGCTTTGTTCGGTAGCCCCTCCCCCAATGGTAACTCTCAAACCTATTCCACTCACTTCCGAACCGATTTACAATCATCCCAGCCGAATATAGCATAAACGAGGGAATTGCAGCCTAGGGGTTGTCGCGTAAGTGGGAAGCTACGAGCCTGAGAGGCGGGAATGACTCAACTTGACAGACTTCACTTCGCTCGCTATGCTAGAGGCGAGATGCCTGTCTCGTAACTTGCTGTAGTTTCCCGCTCTGTTCCTCCTTCCTTCGTTGCTTCTACTTCACGCCTTCATCTAACCCTTCGGAGCCGCGTGTCTCCTCTTGCCTCGTCCTTCCAATGGTAGTCGCTGCATCTGTTTCGGGTCACACGCAAGGACTCGTCAACTAGGCTGATCGTTCAAAGTATAAAGGCAGTTTCGAAGAATGGCAATCACCACGTGGCAGCAGTCCCCTGTAGCATCTCCGATCGTAGGTCTGCTGCATGCAAGGTGCTTGGTGGTGCAATGTCAAAACATTAGTCACCCAGAATGCGAAGCAGTGCCGTCTTCATTACCTGTTGGTAACCGCTCAGTGCGAACGGTTGCACTCTGCTTACAACGGCCATCGGCCACTAGATTCGGCAAAGTGAAAGCATGCTGGATCTACTTTCTTCCGCGGCGCTGAATATGCCCCTTCAGTCCGGTTTTTTCGGTGGTCAGCCCTCCTTGGCTTCTGCACCGTTCGATCCTTCATTGGACATCTCAGATGTCACGGCCGGCGGCAATGCCACATCCGTGTTCAACCTGACGGCCATCCGTCTGCACAACCGGCCAGCATTCTTCCTCGCGCACACCGTCATCAACGCCACACTCTCCCCTGCCTCCTCGCTTCATCCGCTCGCGACTACCCTCATTGACGCCGCGTCGCCCCTTCTGGACGGCATTCTTCGTCAATATCTGCACAACGATTTTTTTGCGGGAAGCCTATGGCTCGTCGCGCTCGGGTTCATCAGCCGAACCCTAATGACCTACTTGCAGGTTCTATGGAGCTACGTGATTCGGCGCGGGAATGTCACCATCAGCATCTCTCCCGAAAGCCAGGCATTCCAGTGGGTGGAGGAGTGGCTCGACTCGCAGAAGGAGTTAAGGCCGTCAGAATACTCCTTGCAGATTAACTGGAATGACGATGACGGCGCTAATTCATCCCCTGACAAGCCTGAGCTTCGGTTCATGCCCAAGCTCAAAGCCGCCCAGCACATCACCTTCAGGGGGTCGAAAGTTTTCTTCCAAACAAAGAACAGCCCCGGGCAGCTTGACAGTGAAGCAGAATTTTCGGAGCTCATACGATCAATGAATCAGAAGGAGCTGGTGATTGAAGCTCCCAGCAAGGCCGTGCTACAGGCAGTGCTACAGGCCGCTACAGATGCTGCCATGGCAAAACGGCAGGAAGAGAAGCTGACAGCCATCCAGCGATGGAACTGCCGACAGTTCTGCTGGCGGTGGTCTGCCAACAAGCAGGTCCGTCCGATGTCCAGCGTGGTCCTGGATTGCGACACGTCAACGCTGCTGGAGGACGCTCGGGAGTTTCTGGCAGGAGCCAAGTGGTACGCGGAGCGCGGCATTCCCCACCGACGGGGGTATCTGTTCCACGGGCCCCCGGGGTGCGGCAAGACGTCCCTCATCCAGGCCATGGCGGGCGAGCTGGGGCTGGGCGTCGCCGTCATCAGCCTCGCCTCCTCCGGCATGAGCGATGACTCGGTCAGTGCTGCAAGCAGTTGACAGTGATTCTGTATCATTTGGCTTCATGTGGTGATTGAATGCCTGCATTGTCTTTTGCTCCCTCTCTCTCCCTTACTCTCTCAAATTCCCCTGCACTCCGGCACTCTCCCCTGCATCCACCGCACTCTCTTTTCCCCCTGTACTCCCCTGCTCTCCCCTTCTTCCCTGTTGTCCTTAACTCTCCCCCACTCGCCTCTGCACTTCGCCACAATCCTCCATTCTCCCCTGCCCGCCCTTTTCCTTCTCATCTTCACTTCTTTCTCCCCTCTTCCTAATTCTCTTCACCCATCCACCCCCCCCTTCCCTCCCCTCACTCCACCTCTGCAGCTGCACACGGCGCTGACCAACTGCGACCAGTGCAACCTGGTGGTGCTGGAGGACATCGACGCCGCCTTCACTGCCGCGCGCTCCAAGGCGGATGGCAGCTGTGCGGACAGCCTGTCCTTCTCGGGGCTGCTGAACGCGCTGGACGGCATAGCAGCGCAGGAGAGGCGCATCCTCGTCATGACCACCAACCACATTGACCGCCTCGACCCCGCCCTCATCCGCCCCGGCCGCATCGACTTCCGCCTGCTGCTCGACCGTGCCTCTTCCACCCAGATCGCCTGCCTCTTCCTCCGCTTCTTCCCCGACTCGCCTGCTTCTGATGCTGACGGGTTTGCGTCGCTTTTTCGCGAGCGGGCGGTGAGTCCGGCATCGGTGCAGGGCTTCTTGCTGCTGCATAAGGACAATGCTGCTGCTGCGCTGGCTGCTGCTCCTGCGTTTGCCAAGGAGAGTGGTGCATCTGCTTCCGACTCGCCTGCTGGTGCCCTTTCTGCTGATGCTGCAGCGAGTGATGGGGGTTTTAGTTCAGTTGCCACTGCTTCTACTGCTGACGTTTATGCCATGGACGCAGGCACTTCCAATTCGAGCAGCAGCATGACTGGCAGCCCCAGCAGTCCCGCAGAGAATCCTAGTGCAGAGAGTCCCGTGTCAATCAACGGTGCAGATTCGATTGCAGGTGGCGATGAAGCGGGGAAGGGCTGGATTGCAGTGGAGGAAGCAAGCGAAGGTGGCAGTGAGGAGGGAGAGGGGTTTGTGAGGCAAGCGAGTGGGGAAATGGGAAAGTTTGGGGGAGCGAAAAGCAAGAGGTTCTTTAGGCCACGGTTCGGGATGAGTGCATTTGGAAGGGGGCGTTTGAGCAGGAGTAACATGAGAAGAGTATTGGGTTAATGAGAAAAACAGCTGGGTAAATCAGGGATAGGGTAGGAGAAGACTGGATTGGAGGCACCCAATCTGTTTTTTTTCAGCATGGGATATGTGTGGCATGACAATGCTCCATGCTCTACAACCTTACAAAGAGCCCGTGTTTGGCAGGTGTCCTGTAACCTGGGGCACCTGCTTTTTTAGTTGCAGCTAACTTGCAGCAATGTAAGATTCTACAGTAATTGTATTTAGCTTTGTGAAATCTCGGTTTTTTTTTTCACATTTGTCGATTTTCCTGAGATTCAGACGTATTTTTATTATAAGCGCATATGCGCTACTATCCGAGGTGATACGGTAAGAATGCCCCCATTTTCTACAAAATAGTTTTTATATCTGTTTTGTTTTTTTACGATGTGAAACTATACCGTAACTTTAGGACTGTGTAAGGAAAATTTCCTTTTCCTTACTTCGTGTCCCTGCTCAGCGCGTACACCACTGTTCCCGCCAACAGCACCCAACAGTAATCCGTTACCACTCGCGACACTCGCCTCAACACTGTTCCCGCCACTGTTCACGACGCGACCCAACCTCACGGTTCGGTTGGTTACCCGCGCTCCGGACCTCCGCCTCGACAATTCCCAACCTCGGCGCCAAGCCCGTCGCGCACCCTATTTTCACGCATTACCGTTACCACTGTAGTTTCGCTATATATTCTTCGCTTATGCCTTCGCTCATTGTACTTTTGCTTCGATAGTGCAATTTTCACTCGCTCACTTATTGCACTCGTAACACTTGGTATTCAGAGCCTACGATCTCTTCTCGGACCGCACCCACACCTTCGCTTCCTCACTATCTCAATTTTTTGGGAGGGGGTAGACGTCTCTCAGCGACACAGCACCGCCGCTCGTATTGCTCTCTCGTAAGCACGCACGGCCACGACAGAGGCTCTCGCTGAGCTTGCCCGACACCCCCGCCATGGCCGAATTCACTCTCGCGACATTAATGCAGGAGCAACTCGACCGTCTCGTACGCCAAGTTGAAGAATCGGCGCTCGAAATTGCGACGCTCACGGCGGAACGTGACTCCGCGCGTCAGCAATCCACGGTGACTACTCCAGCGCCACCACACGCACCTACAAATGCACCTGCACAATTGGAGGAACCGATCATCATCTCATCAGGCACGCCGACACAAAATGACAGCGTGGGACGGCGCTCAGGCGCAGCCAGTGATGGCGCCGCCCAATCGATGCCTGGCATGAGGAGAAACAGGGTCGCGCCAAGCCCGCGGGAGCCTCATGAAGCCCGTCAGTACG